GCTGAGCTTTCTACTTTTTTTTTACAAGTCCATCTGAAATGTAATTTTTCGTACTAACTGCATTACGAGTACCACTTGGCACGCCAGCCATAATCAAATTTTGTCACCATTAATAATTCCTATCGTCTATGTTGCGTGCGAATGTGATTCATTAGAAGCCCTCCTTTTTCAGATGGGCCCAGGGCACATCACTTTGTTCGTGCAAAGCTGTCATTTGGAAATCCAATGATTCGACGGGCAGTCGTCTTTGTGTTCACTTAGTCGTTCCAGGGATACTCGCTATTTTGTTCTGGTTTCATGTTCCCTAAGATCCATGTATACCCTCAAACCCTGCTTCATCTGATCTTCTATTTCATGGTAAATGTGGCAACGTCTCCAGATCTGCTTAGCCTAACTAGTTCCATGGGAATTCCAAATTGTATCTACCACTAGGAAATATAGGGAATTCCTCAGCAAAACTGAATTTCTCCACAGTTCCATGAATGAAGCCGTCAGTCTGACAGGTCTTCGCCTTTTGGACTCAACTTCTTTGCCCTATTCATTGCCCTTCCATGTTTTTACCACTCCCCGTGACGAACAGTTAAGCCAAACCATCCATCATGGCACTGTCCGACTTTAAAACTTGCAGCTGATGTCTCTGAAAACCTCCCCGTTCATTTGAGCCACGGAGCACATGGGGAACCACATCATTTGTCAACAAAACTGCCATATTAGGTTGGCATTGACGTCTTTCGCATGCTGTGTCATCTAAAATAAATAATAAAAAATAATAATAGAATGTGATCGATGAACGCAATGATTAGACGGTACGGGGAGGACAATACTCATGTGGCTTGTAAGAAGCCTTGGTGCCAGTGGGTGGTGGTCGCAATTTGCCAGTTCCATAGCTCCCATAGGGTCCAGGAAATCCAGTAAATCACTTTGGAGAAGTGGCTGTCGTGCACATAAGTCATTTCCGTTTGTCAGCTAGAAAAACTAGCTATTCATCTTGTTGTTTACGAGCCTATTTAAAAGGTAAAGGTACAGTTTGCGATAAAAATTGCCCCTGAAATCACTCCTTTGGATGAGCCTCTGCACAGGTGGCGCTGTCGGGTCGAAAGAGGGCCTGGATAGATCGTATTAAGGGTTCCAAAACCAGTTTGGGCCCGGAAACCGGCCTAGCTGATGTAAACACCCAGAATCGGACAAGTTTTTCCGACGTTATAGATGCTGAAGAGGTTACACCATTCGCACTAAGACGCGCACGTTGTACGCAAGCAGTCTGCTGTAGCCAGCTGTACGCAATAGCACACACATTTGGACAACTCGGCCGAATGCCCCTTCCACTTTTGTCGTCACATTCACATTAATTTTACTACTCCTTTGAGACAATATATTTCTTGAAATCACGTTTTTTCTCCACTTTGCACTATACCCCAAAATTATCAGAACTATGTTATTGACTCGTCG